ACCACTTGAACTCTCTTGCTCTTTCTCTCACCATAGCCACGACCTCAAGGAAAGAGGAGGAAGAAGAAGTGTCGTGGGATACTTGGAAGAAGAAAGATGACTACTTAAGTCTTAAAAGATATCTTAAAAGTTAGCTTACTTTAACATTTTCCAACTTTGCAACTTGCTAAATTCCTATTGGTTCTTTAATTTCCCACACACCTTGTCATCATCTTATACAAGATTCTAGATCCTCTCTAGGTGGCAAAGATAATTTGCATGTTGGTGGATGACTGTGATTGCTTACTTGTCCATTTGACACCTTTAGACTTTTAAACTTTTCATTCATTGGTCCATTTGTTCAAGACTAATCAACCTTAATTCTAATTGGTTGGTCAACACTAAACTTTGACCTTTAAGAATATATAACATACAAGGTCACAAAGAATCAATCGTACATCAAAAGTCATGTAAAGAATTCACAAAGTTAAGTTATGTTACTAACTTAACAACTTTGCATTCACCTTTGACCTAAACCAATTTCCATTGGTTTATTAATTTTCCTTACTTTACCTATTTTTAGAAATTAATCTAGATATTGTTTGATCACAATAAGATCACTTTGAAACCATGAAATTAACTATAGAATTTAATTACATCATTAAAATCAACCTTTGACTTAACCTTGGTCAATTACCAAAGTAATCATGACTTTTCACATAATGACATCTATGGGACATATACCTTATACTTATTTTAGGGTCCTATTAGACTTGTTTGGCATGAACTGTATTCTTAACCTATTTATCATGTCAATTACATGATTTACCGTTTACCGTTTCTTTGAATACATGTTTAAATTCCATTTAAACACTTAGTTAATCCATTGTGATCTATTTAACAATGAGGGTTGTTACAACCACCACTACCACAACCATCACTACCACCTTCACCAACCACCACCATAATCGCCGTAACCACTGCCGTCACCACTACCATGGTCGCCGCCACCACCATCATCGCCACCACCACTACCGTCACCAACCACCACCACTATCGTCGCAGCTACTGCTATCACCATCACCATCACACCATATGAAAAGGAAAGTGATGATCCGAAAAATATTTATGCTTAATAGGAATGAATTTTTATTTTATTATTTGTTGTGTTATCAAACACATTTTTTTTCTCAGAAGTTGTTTTAAGGCACATAAATAGAAAAGAATTGTTTATTTTCAGAAATAGTATCAAGGAATAGAATGATTGTAATGCACAACCTAAATGCGAAACATGTGTTTATCTATAGTTGGGAGTTGTTAGTATATAGGTGTCCTAGAGACAATCTGTTACATCAGATGAACACCTTTTACTACTTATATTTCATGATTTATTTAATATATGAGCACATTTTATCTTTTTCATATTTTGTCTCGCCTTAATATTAGGTTAATATGCGATTAAAGATAAAAGCCCCAGGAATAGAACATGTGTTCATGTGAGGATCTATGATAGGGATCATGATCATGAGGACTCGAGGACACCATATGTCTATTGCCTAAAGTATGTTCCTAGTCTTGAATCACCAAGAGAGGGCATTGGTGATCTCAATAAGACTAGTACGACATCTTCTACTTGTATGGAGATACAAGGTAGGGACCTCATGGTATGCAGGTATGGTGATACCTTAGCTGATGTCGTGGGTGGATCTGTTCAGGAACAGATAGCACTGAACTGACCCGCAGAGATACTCCACAAGGATTTCACTAAGTATCATTGGATTTGTTTAGTCTCTCATCGTTTGGTAGTGCGGATCGTCCTAGACTTAAGGATGTCATTAAACACTATGTCCTAGGGTTATACTTTGACTGTACAACTCTATCCGCCTGAAACATGGGGAGAACAATGTACTCTTGGGTATAACTTGAATACATGAGTCTATATGGACATGTCGAGAGGACTCATAGTCCCCTATAAGGGATTAATTGTTCACAAGACCGGTGGAACTTGAATGACTTCTAATTGACTCGGGAATCTATGCATAGTAAGTGATCATGAGGAGTCATGATCAATCTTAGAGTCAATAGAAAAAAGATTCCTAGTTCTGTGAAAAGCTATATTTAGTCAACAAGAGAGATGATACTATTTCCTTGCTCTCGACTAAATGTGAATGACGATATGAGAGATGATTCCGACACGGTATCCAAATTAGAAAGGTAGATCACTTGGTCAACTCAGTTAGTTCTGGGGCCACAGAGCATTGCTAGTGTCTTATGTGGTCATTAAATGAATTGGACCTGTTAAAAGAGTTTAATTGGTCCAAATTCATTTATGTCAGTGACTAATTGGGCCTAATGGGTCACACACAAAGGTTATTCCTTGTTGCAAACAGGTTTGGGCCAATAATAAGTTATTGGGTTTTATCAAGACTACGAGTTAAATTGGGTTGGAATTGGATTCCAAGCCCAATCAAAAACATGCGCCACATTTGGCCCTTTAGAGCGAAATTGTTTCTTGCTAATGAGATCAAATGTTTAGTTAGGCCCAGCAGGGTCTTTGGGCCATGGATCCTAGAAAGTCAAAAGTTGATTTGACCAAAATAAGTTTTGGACAAAATCAGAAATTTAAATTTTGAAATTTTGAAATTCGAATTCAAATTTAAATTACGAAATTCGAAATTTAAATTTTGAAATTTTTAATTTCAAATTTGAATTACGAACTAGGATAACAATGAAGTTTAAAATTTGAATTTAAAGTTTGAAAAGTTTAAAATTTGAATTTGAAATTTAAACTCATGAGATTGGGTTGTTGATTGATATCTAATGGAGATTGGATATAGATTTTCTGAACAGTTTTGTTTGAATTTAGAATTGAAACAATACTGTTGGAGCTACAGAATGGAGAAGATCATGGTGATGAATTTCGAAATTTTGAAGAAGGTTCTTCTAGAATCTAATTCAAAATTTCAACACTTGAATTTCATATTTTCAGCTCTTGGAATTTTTTGAAATTTTGGAGCCTCTGGAGAGATGATGATTTCGAATTTTTAGCAAAATTGGTGAAAGAGATATTCTCTCAAACTACTCAATCTTTCAATATCTTTGAAGATTTTTTTTAAATTTAATATTTTGATTTTTTAAATTAAGAATCTTTAAAGATCACTTGTGAAGATATAAGAAAGCAAGCATCTTTTCAAAGTCTACAAGAGAGACTGAAAATTCGCCCCTCTCTACATGAGAAGCTCCTCTTAGTTTTTTGAAAACAGATCATCACCTATTCTTCTCAATTTTTCGCCCCACACCTAATCTCAAGACAACAATCACAGTCTTGAGAAAATTAATCAAACACTTGTAAGGGCCCGTTTGGATGAGCTTTTTTTTCTTCAAAAGCTGCTTTTTTTTAAGAAAAAAAGCACTTTTCGTTTTTAGTTCGTTTGGATGTCTGCTTTTAAAAAAAGGAGAAGTCACAAAAAAAGCCAAAAACCTACTTTTCTCAGAAGCTAAAATTTTTAACTTCTCAGAAAAGCAGAAGTCAAAAGCCAAATATTTTTTTCAAAAACTAAATATTTTTATAAAAATATAAATAGCTTTTAATTTTGTAAAAAGTACTTTTAAAATAAGGAAGTAGTAAAAGTTACTTTTAAAAAAAGGTGAACCAAACGACCTCTAAATCCTCTAGCCTTCATTCGCCTAGCAAGCAATTAAAGGCAAAGGAGGATCAAGGAGAAGAGTTCTCTGCTGCGACATTGGAGATAGCTGTGTGGACTATCATTAGAGGGCATCATCCTTTTGAAGCCTACAAGAGATCAGAATAAGGTAATTCTAAATCCTCTTGTGTTTCAATGAGCGTTTTCTTTCTAAATCACATGAGGGCATAGATTGTCTATGCATTCCGCTTTCAGAATTTTTTTTATTTTTCCCTCATGTAGGCATATCATTGTGCGACAATGATGGTGCTAAAGTTTTGAACTTTCAGGAGTATGGGTGCTAAACGAACCAGGGACCTTTGGCCTGGGTTTATAGTCTAAAATTGGTTGTTGGAACCGGACTTGGATTTGTATAAAAGCTCATTTAATAAAAAGGTCTCAGGCTCCAATTCAAAAGCCCGACCTTAGAGCCTCTCAGGCTGGCCTGGTATACTATCTTTTATTTTATATTTTTTATACTACTCATAATAGCCCTACTTCTCTCCTCAATGCATTTCACCCTATTTTATTGGTTAAACAGATTTTTTGAATGATTTTGATCTATATTATGCTGTTTGGATAAACATTAAATTTATGAATCTTTATGGAATTATTAGTGCTGTTGATCATATATTCTGTTTGAATACATTTTTGTTGTATTATTTTTTGTAAATAAGAAAGACCACATGTCGATAATTATATTCATAACAGATAACATGCTAGGCCAGACTGATACATTTAAATAAAACTTAACCTTTTAAGACCAAAGTCTGGCTTGCCTCGACCGTTAACACCCCTAGTTGGGAGAAGTTGAATAAGGAAAAATAAAGAGAGATTGCAATATTGGTGAGTAAAATGCCATAGGCTAGGTTTGAACAGACCATGACAACTAGGAATTAGGAATAATATTATAAAGCTATCAAGAGCCCAATCACTTATTGTTAAAATTAAGAGTATAAAGGAAAAAAGTAAAATATCTTTTAGGTTCTCAACAAAAGTCATGATGTCCATTTTAATTTCTTGGAAAAAAAAGTTGACTTATGATCCTTTTAAAATTCAAAATAATTTTAGATAGTCAAAATTGTGGTCTTTCTACAATTCAAAGCAGACCCACATTAATTCTTCAAAAGACTAATATAAGTTTATTTTGAATTTGAAAGGAGTTGACTTTTTTTTAAAATTAAATTAAATTTCGTAATTTTTGTTGAGACAAAAAAAACAAAAATACTTTACTCTGAGCAAAATAAGTAATACACCTTTGTAATAGCTACTTAATCCAAGAAAGATTATAAGAGGGGAATCCTTATTTTTTACAATCAGTTAAAGTAGAGGATCATTATTCATCTCAGTTCCTCGAACAGTGGTGGCTGATTATTTTATTCCATTTAGCTTACAGGTATTGTACAATCGACTCGACTGTAGCAAATATAGGTAGGTCAGGTGTATATGCATTTTGTTGAACCCTAATAATTAGAATTGAATGAAAGTTTCAGTTCCGCCAAGTGTTTGAACCCATGTAATTGTTTTAATTTTCCTGCGCTGCGCTAATAATATAAGGAGTAACAAACCCTTTTATTGTTTTTTTTTTTTTTTTTTTTATTTGCAGTTGATGCTTAGAGGAATAACCTGCATACCATACACGTGCTTGCTGTCAATGGATGCAGCAATTCGCTCAAACGCGACGAAGAAGAAAAAAACCAGTCAAACCCTTGAGAATAAGTTCCTATTCGAGCTTCATTCTTGCTCGAAGGCCAAAGATTTGTGTGGTGCGATCTCCCTTTATGATGCCGCTGTTTCGAACAACACTCGACTCAATCAGCACCACTTCAATGCCCTACTCTACCTCTGTTCCAATTCTGTCACCAACCCATTGCTAAAAGACTCTGCTTTGAAATTTGGGTTCCGCATATTTGATCACATGTCGTCCACCTTGGGCATCAATCTCAACGAGGCCTCTATTACCACGGTTGCGAGGCTCGCTGCGGCAAAAGGGGATGGCAATTATGCCTTCGAATTGGTGAAGAACATGGGCAAGTACAACGTTTCCCCAAGGTTGCGGACCTACGATCCAGCATTGTTCTGCTTCTGTGAGCTTCTTGATGGCGATAAGGCGTATGAAGTGGAGGAGCATATGAATGATGCGGGGTTGAGTTTGGAGGAAGCGGAGCTTGCTGCGCTTTTGAAGGTGAGCGTGAAGAATGGTAGAGCTGAGAGGGTCTACGAGTATTTGCACAAGCTTAGAAGCACTGTAAGATGCGTTACCGAATCGACTGCGCTGGTTATTGAAGAGTGGTTTCGTAGTAGCAAGGCATCTGAGGTTGGTGATATGAATTTGGATGCTGGAAGAGTTAAAGAAGGAATTTTGCGGAATGGAGGGGGGTGGCATGGTCAAGGATGGGTTGGACATGGGGATTGGATTGTATGTACAACTAGTGTTGATGTTGACGGACATTGTTCTTGTTGTCGTGAGCAATTGGTTTGTGTCGATATCGATGATGAGGAGACGGAGAAGTTTGCGCAGTCTATTGCTGCGTTGGCTATGGAACGAGAGGTCAAATCAAATTTTACTGAATTTCAGGTTACTGACTTATTATTCCTCTTTCTTCTGCAATATAATTTCAATGTGATGGGCATGTTATTCAAGTTATAATTAATAACTTGGTTTTGACACTTTCCTCATGTGTCCTCTTTTTGGCAACTACAAGGGCTGGCTTGAAACACATGCTTGCTATGAAGCTATAGTGGATGGAGCAAATGTTGGGCTCTACCAACAAAATTTTGCTGAAGGTGGATTTAGCATTTATCAGGTTATATGCCAAAGTCATATAGTCCCTTTTCCTTTACCTTTACTGTTAAATGAAGTTATGCAAGTTCTTGCTCTTGTATAATAAGTAAACTTTATTATTTGTACAAGTAATTGTGTTTACATTGTACAATTTTATAATTGTGCAGCTTGATGATGTTGTGAAAGAGCTGTACAATCAAAGTGGGAAAAAATGGCCGCTGGTTATCCTACACAACAAGCGTCTAAGAGGGCTAATGGAAAATCCTTCTGGTAGAAAACTGTTAGAGGAATGGATGAATAATGGTGTGCTCTATACATCTCCAAATGGATCCAATGATGATTGGTAAATTGCCAAATTAATGTTTTCATTTTAGGACGATAATATTGTTTCGTGAACTGTTTGACTGCTTCTTTACTTTAACTGCAAAAAAGACAATTTATTATTTGGTCCCCTTTAGAAAATTTAGCTTCAGTTGAGTTTTCGTATTTAGACATGCGTGTGGTCATTTGTTTTCATGTGGGTCTAAAACTCAAAAATAAAGTATGCAGTGTTAGAACTTGCGTTCATTGAGTCATTTATGTAATATTTTTTTATGGAAGATTAAATTCACATTTGATGTGCCATATATGATACCTTTTTTACATTAGACAGCTGAAGCTAATGGAAGGATTAAAGTGAACCCAAACTTGAATAACTGAGGAGGACTCAATGGAAGCTAACCTTTTTCAAGGACTAAAATGTGACCAGCGGTATCTTTTAAGCTTCAAATGATTAATATTCTTCATAAATATTTGCTCTTTAGACACTTTGATCAAATATCAGGTTGTAACTTTGTTTTGTATTTTTCAATCACTATTATGTACATTCACCTTTTACATTACTCCATTACAATGTTGTTAAACTCGGCTCGGTCATTGATTCAGTCGAGGTACTGGGTCATCATTGGCTCAACTAGTGGGTTACTGGTTGAACCGCATGACTCCGGTTAAGTATATGTAAATCTATAATTTATATGTAAAAAACATAAACATACTCAAATACCTATAAATAACATACCAGTTCCAAATATTCTAATATGAAAAACAATAAATCACACGTCTAATGAGTAGTGAGGCCTATTCCATAATCTAAATGTTGCTTCTATAGTTAAAACTTAATTATATATATATATAGATATATAGAGACACACACATATGGGATATGATTCTTTGATACCGATGTTAAACTTTGAAATTTGACACCAAATCATAACCGTTGATTTCCGCCAATCAACGGTTATCATTTTTTGGGAATTAATATTAATTAATAAGTTTGATTCCCAATAAATGATAACCGTTGATTGGCGAAAATCAACGGTTAGGATTTGATGTCAAATTTCAAAGTTTGAAACCGGTGTCAAAAGATCCTGTCCCTATATATATATATTAAAATATTTAAAAACTATGTGTCTGTTTGATTGTGTTCTAATTTTTTTGTTCTTAAAACCGTTTTGTAGAATAGTTATGGAAACAACTATTTTCTGTGCTTTTTTTTGTTTTGAAAGTTAAAAGTCAAAACACAACAAAAACAACTCAGATATGTTCTCTATATTTGATTCTAAAAACAAAAAAGCAGATACAATTTTTAAAACTATTTTTACAAAACAAGCCTTATCAAACGAGTTTTTTTGTTCTAAAAACCAAAAAACTATTTTTAGAAACAGTTTTCTAACGGGGGCCTATATTATTTTACTGAATTAAAAATTGAGATAAAAATTTCTCAGCATAAGTTATTATTATAAAATCACATTTTAATAAAATCAAATTCAAGCAAAATAAAGTTTACTTTTTTGTGTCTGCAAGAAAATTTTTGTGAGTATCTTAAGTTAGGTTTGGCCCATTGGGTTGAAAAAGGATTGAACCGACCCAAATATCCAAAACCCTAATATTCACATTTCACATTTCTATCCACTCTCAGTTCAATAAAAAACAATACCTGTCACTACTTCTCCCCCTTCCTCTTCGATGATTGATATGGACGTTATTGGTGCTGAGTGTTGGAGCTTCTTGAATCTTCCAAAGACAACCTAGTCGTAGAAACGTATGCCGAAATCCCCACCTTGTTCCCCAAAGCTCGTGCAATATCCAGAGTGTTTTTTTGAATTGACGGATCACCGGTTTTAGCAAAACCTGTTGAGTCGCATCGAGTCAAACCTGTTCACATCGGTTCATCTGCAAGTCCGATCCAATATGCTACTCGGACCGGTCACATGATTGATTTATCGGTTTTCGGGCTGAACCGGTGGTCTGGTCCCTGCTCCATTATATTGTCAACATACTTATCATTTTGGATCTTTTGTTTTATTCACTTATATTAATATTCTAAGTTACAGGTATTGGCTCTTTGCTGCTGTAAAACTCAAGTGCTTGCTTGTGACAAATGATGAAATGCGAGATCACATATTTGAACTCCTAGGAAGCAACTTTTTTAACCAGTGGAAAGAAAGACATCAAGTAAGTTATTTCTTATTTATGATTAGATTGCTTATTTTATCAATCATGAGTGAGTTAGTTGCTGCCTGTTCACAATTTCATATGCACCGATTCTTATATCTGAGCGTTTTTCTCATTAATTTAAGTTTACAATTTTTATCATATCCTTGCATGTCCTGTACCACAACTTGGTTACTCACCTACATTCTTTTTGAAATTGGTTTCTCTAGCATGAGTTTAGGAGTTTTTTATTTTCATGTTTTGAATGTGTGGCGTGCTCATTAAGTTATGTTGGATGTTGTAGAAAATCAGAATCCAAATTCAAATATTTTTCCGTTTTTATTTCCTATTAATTAGGAATAATTAAGATTAATTAGGATTGATTGTTTTTTATTTCCTATTAATTAGGATTAATTGTAATTGATTAGAATTAATTGTGATTAGGTTTGGTGAGTCATAGCTGAGTCATACTTAGCTATTTTTTCTTGTATAAATACTCCTCATTCCTCATGTAATTATTAAAATCAATATACTGAAAACCTTTTTCAATATGGTATCAGAGCTTGAGCCCTCACCGCCTCCCACTTTAAAGTGGAATTAAAATAAAAAAGCACAAAAAGGTAAACCAAAAATTGGGCCTGTGCAATTCCACGCTTCTAGCCCAATGGGCTCTTGTGTGAGGGAGCGTGTTGAGATAGATAGTCCCACATTGGTTGTATGTGCAACTAATGTGGAGTTTATAAGGCCTTGGGCACTCCCACCCTTTGAGCTAGCTTTTGGGGTGGTGTATCCCAAGGTTCTTTACATGGTATCAGAGCAGGTTGGTCCTGAGAAAACTCAGCCACCACAACCACCGTCAAACCGGCGGCACAACGCCGGAAAACTCAACCTCCAACCATTATTAAGGTTATTTTCCCTTCCTACAAAGTTCCAAGAGCAAAGTAAGGCTACCAATCACTGTAGAAGGCAAAATCTCAGCTTTCCACCGCCGTCAGCCACCGTCAGCCGCAGTCGAAAATTTTTTCCGGCGACATTTCCGGCCAAGATCCGCACCATTCGAAACAGAAGGAGCCGATCTACAAGTTTCAAGAAGGACCATCGGATTCTGCTGAGCCACGCGCCCCCACGCGCTAGAGAAAGGACAAAGCGTCTGCCCTACGCGTTACCACACGCAGCCATGTTGATTGAAAGTAAATTTCCATCCAGCAATGTTGCTCAACAAGGTATAGCGTTCCATGTTGATAATAGTAGTCGATGGATTCTTGATTCAGGGGCTTCAGATCATATGACAGGTAATGCAACCTTATTTTGTTCTTATACCCCTTACTATCAACAATCACGAATAAGAACAGCAGATGACAGCTTCTCTACTATTGCTGGAAAAGGATCCATTAAACTTTCTGAACACATTACTTTGAACTCAGTCCTTCATGTTCCCTCTCTTACCTGTAACCTTATCTCTATCAGCAAACTTACGTCTGAGTTACATTGTGTTGCCAAGTTTTCTGTCAATGCTTGTGTTTTCCAGGAACAGGACTCGGGGCTGATGATTGGCAGTGCTAGAGAGGAAGAAGGACTTTATTATTTAGAAAAAGATTCTTGTGAAGGAAAAAATTTTGTGAACCACTCGGTATGTTTGTCTGATGATTGTAATGATGTTTTGTTGTGGCATCGTCGGTTAGGACACCCAAATTTCATTTATCTTCAGAAGTTGTTCCCAAGCTTATTTATCAATAAAAATCCCAGTTCTTTTTCTTGTGATATTTGTCAGCTTGCAAAACATTCTCGTGTTTCTTATTTTCCTAGAGTCCATCATGATTCTTCTCCATTTACCTTGATTCATAGTGATATATGGGGTCCAGCCCGTGAAAAAAATATCTCTGGTGCTCGTTGGTTTATAACTTTCATAGATGATCACTCTAGGGTATGTTGGGTATACCTTCTAAAGGATAAGTCTGACGCTGCATCCATTTTTAAAAACTTTCTTGCTATGGTTCAAACTCAGTTCCAGACCTCTATCCAAATTCTTCGAACTGACAATGGTACTGAATATTTTAATTCTGTTCTTGGAAACTATCTCAGCCAGCATGGTATTCTTCATCAAAGTTCTTGTCCTAACACCCCTCAACAAAATGGGGTGGCTGAAAGAAAAAATAGACATCTCCTTGAAGTTGCTCGAGCTCTTATGTTTACCATGCATGTCCCTAAATATTTGTGGGGGAAGCTGTCTTGACTGCAGCATACCTCATCAATCGGATGCCTTCTCGTGTCCTAAATTTTCAATCTCCTTTATCTTGTCTTACCCACACCTTTCCTTCTTTTCGGGCTCATTCTTCCCTTCCTCCCAAGTTGTTTGGCTGTGTGGCTTTTGTACATGTTCCTTCCCATCAAAGGTCCAAGCTCGATCCTAAGTCCATTAAATGTGTCTTCATAGGATATCCTCCTAACCAAAAGGGTTACAAGTGTTACTCATCTTCACTTCGTAAGGTCTTTGTTTCTATGGATGTCACATTTGATGAGAGACAATCTTTTTTTCCTTCGACTTCTCTTCAGGGGGAGTCTATTGGGGTTGATGAAGATAAGTCTTGGAAACCAAATGATTCTGTTGTTTTGCCTTTGCTGTTGGAGACAGGGGGAGTCATTATGAAAAAGACAGGGGGAGTTAATGTGTCAGATAATGGAGATCTTCCCGGAAATGGGGAAAGTTTTACAGCAGGCGAGAATCACCTCAGGAGCCTCTAGACTGCCAGGATTCTGACTCGAGTCTTAGTTCCAGCAAGACTGATACAGCCAACCTAGATGTGCCTATTGCTCTCCGAAAAGGTACTAGATCTTGTACTGCTCATCCTATTTCTCATCATACCACATATGAAAAGTTGTTCCCAGGTTTTCGTGCTTTCAACACTATGTTAGACAGTAGAAAAATACCAAAAAATATCCAAGAAGCACTTGATGATCCAAAATGGAGGAATGCAATCTTTGAAGAAATGGATGCACTCAACAAAAATGGAACTTGGGAGTCTGTAGCATTACCCAGAGGAAAGAAAACAGTAGGTTGCAAGTTGGTGTTCACAATAAAGTTTAATGCAGATAACAACATCAACAAGTATAAGGCCATACTGGTTGCTAAGGGATTCACTCAAACACATGGGATAGACTATCAAGAGACATTTGTCCCTGTTGCCAAGCTTAACACTATCCGAGTTCTTTTATCACTTGCTGCAAATCTTGGTTGGCCCTTGCAACAATTAGATGTAAAGAATGCTTTCTTGAATGGTGATCTACATGAAGAAGTTTTTATGGATCCACCACCTGGTTTTGAAAAAGGAGACGATTCAGTATGCAAGTTGAAAAAGTGTCTCTATGGTCTTAAACAATCTCCTACAGAGTGGTTTGAGAAGTTTACTCAAGCTGTTAAGGGAAGAGGATTCCTCCAAGCTCAGACAGATCACACTTTATTTTTAAAACACTCTAATGGTGGTAAAATTGCTATTCTCATTGTTTATGTTGATGACATAATTGTCACAGGTAATGATTGTGAGGAGATAAGCTCTTTGAAGAAATGTTTAGCTAATCAGTTTGAACTGAAGGATCTTGGATCTCTCAAATATTTCCTAGGCATGGAAGTTGCTCGAAGTAAGGCAGGGATTTCTTTAACTCAGAAGAAATATATTCTAGACCTGTTACAAGAAACAGGAATGCTTGGGTGCAAGCCAGCAAAGACTCCAGTTGAACCCAATATTAAATTGGGAATCGAAGATGGGAAAGAAGTTGACAAAGAGCAGTATCAGAGATTGGTGGGGAAGTTGATCTACTTATCTCACACTCGGCCTGATATTGCATTTGCAGTTAGCACGGTTAGTCAATTCATGCATTCTCCTAAGGAAAAACACCTGAGTGCAGTTTATAGAATTCTGAAGTACCTCAAAAACACCCCTGGACGAGGATTGTTCTTTAAAAGGGGACACAAGAGTATGATTGAAATATATACAGATGCAGATTGGGCTGGCTCTGCATTGGACCGAAGATCCACTTCAGGATATTGCACCTATATTTGCGGAAATCTTGTGACCTGGAGAAGTAAGAAACAAACAGTTGTTGCCCGGAGCAGTGCAGAAGCAGAATTTCGGGCTCTAGCCCATGGTATTTGTGAAGGAATTTGGTTAAGAAGACTCCTTGAGGAATTGAAGATCTTTTTTTCCCTACCTGTCAGAGTGTATTGTGATAATAAGGCTGCTGTCAGTATTGCTCAAAATCTAGTTCACCATGACAGAACAAAACATGTGGAGGTTGATCACCACTTTATCAAAGAAAAAATAGATGATGGAAGTGTATGTATGGTGTATATTCTTACCAAAGAGCAGATTGTAGATATTCTCACTAAGGGCCTACACCGGCCAGCCTTTGAAGACTTGATTGGCAAGTTGGGAATGATCAATATTTACCTCCCAACTTGAGGGGGAGTGTAGAAAATCAGAATCCAAATTCAAATATTTTTCCGTTTTTATTTCCTATTAATTAGGAATAATTAAGATTAATTAGGATTGATTGTTTTTTATTTCCTATTAATTAGGATTAATTGTAATTGATTAGAATTAATTGTGATTAGGTTTAGTGAGTCATAGCTGAGTCATTCTTATGATTGTGATTAGGTTTGGTGAGTCATAGCTGAGTCATGCTTAGCTATTTTTTCTTGTATAAATACTCCTCATTCCTCATGTAATTATTAAAATCAATATACTGAAAACCTTTTTCAATAGATGTTTTATTTTTCTGGGAAATTGCGGTTTGTTTGTTCGCTTTTGTTTTGTTTTGTTTTTTTTTGTTTTTTTTTGGGGTTTGGGGGTTGGAGGATGTAGTTGGAGAAAAATGTTTTTTCAGGACATTCTCCAATATTTGACATATGAGTAGTTGTTTCCCATTGATAGAGTGATACAATCAACAAAAAAACACAAGAATTTGGGACAATAAAATTGAATAAAACTGGTATTGAAATGGAAGAGTATCTATTCCTATATTTC